TTCCTTCTACCGCACTGAGCATCGTGAAGCAACGGGACGGCCCTGAAGGATACCGAGGCTGATGCCTGGGCTTTGAGCTCATGATCGATTAGCAATGTCTGCCCCTGGAATGGTTGGGGAACAGGGAGCACAAGTGCAGGCATCTGTCCATCATCCTGCCTTAGCCAGCACAGAGGCACCTCCCTTAACATGCTCTGCCTATAGAAACTGAGTTGGGGCCAGCAGGTGGGATAGTGTTTAAGGCGCTGGATTCCCACATGGCTGACCACAGTTTGAGTCCTGAACTTGGTGGCTGGCTTTCTTGTTCCCCACCCCCTCTCTGGTGAACATGTGTGCCCTAGAGCACATTCTAAAATAATAGTAATAAATAAAATAATTCTAAAAAACGTAAGAAAATTCTGAGTTGGAGCCAGCAGATGGCGTAGTAGTCAAGGCGCTGGACTCCCGCGTGGCCCAGCAGGGTAAGATTCATGCAGGGCACGTGTGTATGCATGCCGAAATCCCAAGAGGTGAATAAAGGAGAGACTGTGATGTGGCCATCCCCGCTGTGGGGTGATTTCACACTTTCTGCCTCTTTGGCATGTGTAGACACCCTCTGGCAAAAGTCTCTCAAAGAAACAGAAAGGAAATTCTGAATGAGGGGTGCGGGTCAGACTCACCGCCTCTCAGAGGTCACTGGTCCTCCTGCCGCTTTGTACTCGAGGTGCCCAAGTGGCCTGTCCTCGGTGAGGCCTCCAGGGCCAGACACTGGCAAGGGTGGAGGTACCAGCCTTGCCCTCATAAACACCAGGCCCTAAACACGTCCTGCTCAGTCACCCCGAGACCCCAACCAGTAAGCACAACAGGCCCTGAGGACCGACATAGGAACAAGGGCTTGGCTGCCAACTCCCAGGCAGCATTCTTCCCCGTTCCCTACTGCAGCTGATTCCAATGATTTAAAGGTCAAAATGGTGTGTTCGGCAGGTGCTGTAGTGATTAAGGTGCCAGACTCCCATGTGGTTGACCGCGGTTCAAGTCCTGGACCCGGCGGCTTGAAACTCAATGCCAGGTGCGTGTGCGTGCCCAAAATCCCAAGAGGAGAATGGAGAAGGGATTATGGCATGGCCATTGCCTTGGGGGAGGGCTGTTTCTCACTCTCCGTCTCTCTGGTGAGTGCACATGTCCTACAGCAATAAAATCTCTCTCTCTCAAAAAAAAAAATCAATTGAAAAAGGATCAAGCAATGTAACCATTACGCCATCTGCTGGTCCCATTGGTACAAGACTTTTTTTTTTTTTTTGAGAGGGTTTTGCCATATGGCAACTGCG